TCATGTTTCAGCAGAATCATAGACAAAACAAAAATACGTTTCCAATGAAGCTGTCATCACACATCGTTCAAATGAAACCAATGACAATTCTATTATTTTCGTCAAAGTACGACATTTATTTAAAAAATATCACGTGGATTTAGCAAAACATAAATATTGTGAGTGTGTTAATACACCGATTTGAGTAAAAAAGATCCTGTGTTTTTTTTTCTTTCATGTCGCTTTGGTTTGAAGCTTAAAAACATTTCCGAAATGTTTGTTGTGTGTTTTTCGTTGGATGTGATGTGCAAATGTATGTGCAATGGAGTGAAAGATATCGTGTGCATAATAAAATGATGCCTCTAATACTATGATAATTTGGCCAATCAATGAATGACGTATACTTGATTAATACTTATATCAAAAATTGCAATTAGGCTAATGTCGAAATGATATCGAGAACAAATTACTGCTTATGTGAGGTTGGGGCAAATTCGATTGAGTATATTGGAATTCAATTCATAAAAACCGCTTGGCAATGTGTTATCAATGACGTGAGCACAAAGATTTCTTGGGATAGATCAGTCAAGTGTGGCGGAGTAGCGATCAGTGTTGGCGCAAACACAGTGGCGATATTATGTTCGGTCATTTTGTTCACAGCATGATGCGATGAAACTCTGCAAATTTGTGGGTGGAAATCACATCATTAAACCATCAAATAGAGAGTGTAAAAGCAAGCATTTGACTCATTGGTGGTATTACCTATTTAAGTGTTCGATAACAAATTTCAAACAATTGAAATGAGCTGGCGGCAACTGTTTAACTGCTTCACGCATTTTTATCACTTGCTCTCCGACCGATGTACAGCCTAAAAAAAGAAATTTTATTACAACTTGATAAACTAAAAGAAAAAAACAGTGTTTATTTGATAAATCAAATACAGAAATGAGAGAGAGAGTTTTTGGATACAAAAAAATAAAAATAAAATTGACTCACTCGTTGATTGGATAAACGTTGGATACGCATGATATGTGATTAGCGGCACAGGCAATAGCCTCAAATACAATTTCAAAGTGCCTGCAACGACGTTAATATTACTGTAAGCCGATTCGGACATGTCTGTCTTTTCGCCATGCCGATCTAGTGCTAGTTTTAACGCATCAATTTCGTCAGCAAACCCAGAAACTCGATAAATTCCCTCTTGTAGCATGCCACGGGCTTCGACTTCTTCGACACAACGTCTCACAACGAATGGGATTGTACACTGGTGCAGTGTGACAACGATCGTCAAATCGGAGCCAAACACACCGCGAATCTTTTTCATATCGGGCACACACTTGGCCGGAACCAATTCCGAACATTTATTATGCGCAATGAAACCACAATCTTCACATTTAACGCCTTGAGCGGTAAAACCCCATAGGAAATTCGCACAAAGTTCACACCAATTCAAGCCTTTGAATGTATGTATTTTGAATTTGTGGGATTTTTGATAAACCACTGGCAAAACGTCGATATCATCGGCACCGATGGATACCTGACTCTGTCCATTCGTATTCAAATGATTCATATTCTCTTCGTTTTGTTTCTGGGCATTTGTGGCCTTTGTCTCTGTTGAATTTGTCAGTAAAGCGGTGGTCAGTGATGTTGTAATCGATGCGACGTTATCATTCATCGGCGGTTGATTATCATATTTCAAACTCTTACGCAAATCATTCGAAAGTGCACGTAATTTTCGTCGATTCAATGTCATGTATGGGCTTTGTTGGTAGCTACTCTTTGTCTGTGACATCATCGCTTGGATGATTGGTGCTGCATGAATTTGCATGTAGAAATTTACTAGGCCATCGGCAACCAAATCGTGAATCGTATCGAATCGCTTGAAATCTTCTTTGAGAAAATGGCCACCGCTAGCGTTGGGTTTGTAGTAGATTTTATAGTGTTTGGTTCGATTGTTGAATCGAAGTGAAAGTGTGTAATAGTCAGTTGCGCCGGGGCTTCGTCGCACAATGTACGATCCATCGCACTTGTCATTTAGCAGAGTTTCGGATTGCTTATGATCCATCACTCCGTGATACTCATATCCATAATAATCGGGAAACGAATCTTCCTTTATATCGTCATCACGCAGCAATGCCTTCGGTGTTGGAGCTTCTAATTGGATTTTATATACTACACAAGAATGAAAAAAAAACATCAAGCGGAAATTGTTAATTGAGCGAATGGTATGAAACAGCAACAGCAAAAAAAACAACACTTACGCTCGGGTTTCCACACTTTGTGGACGGGAGAATTTTGCTCTGTTCCATTCGACATATTTTTGTTTATGTCGATCGACACTTTGATCAAATACTACTCAAACATTAAAAATAAATCCTTTTGTGTCTTCGGCACTGACACACTAGCAGCACAAACATGAAAGCTAAACTACAATGCACTGGAACATCGCGACTAACACTGTAAACAATTGAATGAATACAATAACATTTGTAGAAGGGAGAGAGTCTATGAATAGTAAAAAAGAGACGACACCACACGATATTAATAGAGACAAAAATAGTGTATGGGAATTGACAAGGCAATGAAAGCGAATTTTCGTTGTTGATGGAATTGTTTTAATGTTTTTTTTGGGTAATTTTTCAAAATGGTCACCATTCAATTGAATTAAATCAAAAATCTCAATGAAAAATCAAAAGAATTATTTTGTTTTTGTTTTAATTCAAAATTTCAATCAAAATACTTCACAGCATATCGGTTCATACTGTAAACCGACTGTAACACACTTCCAGTCAAATGACAGTTCGCATCGGTACACACCGAAAAATGTTCATACTGAAATTGCTTGACTCAAGCCAACGGTGTGTCAGCGGCAAAACGATTCTTTCTTTTCTTTGACGTTCTCGAAGAAGTAAAGTTGTGTCTCATTTTGCATTACACGTTTCGTGTCAAAAAATACAGACTTAAAGTAAGTGTTCGTTAAAAATTTGGCCATAAAATCAATCACAATTAAATTTTAAAACTGGATTGCAAATAATTTCCACAAAAATCATTCGGATGATTGGGATTTATTGCGATTTTTTCATACTTTGTGTCTGTGTGTCGCCTATTCAGTGTTCATATGTATATACGGATGGAAATGACCGTGCGGTGAAACGCAATTTCAGTTCGACTTGCGAAAAGGGTTTTTAATGATGAACAACTACCTACATTATCTGAAGGACTCCATAGCGATGTTCCGTCACATTTAAAATGAAGTGTGTGAAAACCAAAAATATTTCTGAGAAAAACCCAATCCGTCGAATACATGTGTGTTTCGCCCGTGTATCATATGGACGACAGTTGCGACGCGTTGAGGTTATGTTTATACACGCCTGTTAATCACATTGTTTTCTTTTCATTTCATTTCTCAAAACAGAATGCGTTACGTGGCTGCATACTTATTGGCTGTCCTCGGTGGCAAAGAATCGCCGTCGAACGCAGATATTGAAAAAATCCTCAGCTCCGTTGGTATCGAAGCCGATGGCACCAAATTGAGCAAAGTCGTTGCTGACCTTAAAGGCAAGAGCATCGAAGATTTGATCAAGGAAGGACGCGAAAAATTGTCCTCAATGCCAGTTGGTGGTGGTGCTGCTGTTGCTGCCGCTCCAGCTGCCGGTGCTGCACCAGCTGCTGAAGCCAAGGCTGACAAAAAAGGTACGGTCGCTAATTGCCAAACACTTCAATACACTAGTGCCGATGTTTTTTTTTTACTGTGATGAACACAATTTTACCATCTTTCGCATGAATTTACATTGATTCGACCTCTATGATCTGATGTTTTTGTCAAATTATCTAATTGAAATCATTTCGCTGATTGACCAATTTTACTAATGTGTTCTTTTTCAATTTGTCTATTTACAGAGGAAAAGAAGGAAGAATCAGAAGAAGAGGATGATGACATGGGCTTCGGTCTTTTCGAATAAATCAAAAACCCTTCGATTGTATTCAATTCGTTTTTCGCATCTGATGCGGGTGATTTTTACACAATAACCATCGTGTGTAAAATAATAAGTATGTTGTAATTAATGCCATCGTCAACAAACAAAAAATGAAGGATTCGAAAACACGGATTATTTCTATGAAATAATTTTCATAAAATAAAATTTTCCGAAAAACACACAAAAAAAAACAAACGGCTTTTTTTCCATTTGAAATTGTTTTTATTTTCATTTTTTGCTAATATGTAGATAAATAACAAAGGTAAGGTAAATTTTATTTTTCAATTGGATCGAGTTCATCGTAGAATTTCTCCACTTCAACTGGATCGTCGGTTATTATTTCCTCGTCCAAATCATTAACATGTTGCTCGTACAAAGCTTCTTCTTCGTCTAATATTTTTGAATTGAATTCGACTTCTTCGGCACGTTTCAGTTTTCGCAGTAGTCTTCGCTTTTGCAGGAATTCCCGTAGCACATTTTCCGATTGTTTTGCATTCACTTGCTCCTCTCGTATGCTCTCAAACGATGTGTTGAATGTGAACGGTTTGGTGTTGCTTGATTGATTTGATTGTTTTTCTTCGAACGATTTCCATGCTTGTTTCGATTTGGCCATGGTTTGTTTAACTCGGCCCATGATCAACGCATGGTTTAATCCGAACACATCGTGTCTCATCGGAAGTATTGATGAATTGGTGCTATCTTCGGTCTTGTTTTCTCCGCTTTGAAGTTCAAAATCGGTTTCTCGCAATCTGGTGAACGTTGGCTTGAAATCCTCTCCATAATCGGCTTTTTCGATTACCGAATCCAATTCATCGAAATACGACAATTGATAATCTCTTACAAAGGTCAAGTGTGGAATATTGCCCATCAATTGCATTTGATGCAGTTCATGACGCAATTTTCTGGCGATTGATTCCAGCTTTTTTTCGACTTGCTCAAAATCCGCACCCGATGCGGTCCAGAAAATATTCAATCCATGGTAATTCTGACAAACTTTAACTTGTGTAATCTCCAGCCCAAGACCACCCAATTCGTATCCAATGGGACCGCTTGCAATCAACTCCGTCACATGGCGCATGAACATTTTATTCAAAACGGTCGTTCGTCGTGCCGATAATTTCGATGGCACTTTTTTAACTGCATGAAGTGCTTCGGATTTTGGTATCGCGTGTTCACCATACCTAAAACTAGGCTTCCTTTTGCCCGTCATCAGCTTTTGTAGCATTTTCGATTGACGGCCCTCGTACGATGCACATCGTGACTGCAACTGTATTGCACTTAAATTCCGTAACAACGAATTCACTGAATTATTTAACTTGAACATTTTCATCAATAATTCAAATATCAATTTGAAAAGCCACTTTGTTATTTAGACTTGGCATGTTCGACTCACAAACGATTGAGGTTAATGCATTTGTTTTGGCTAATGAAATGACAGGTTTTACTCTGTCATCAAGAGGTGGAATTCATTGTCGAACCCTGCACCATATTTGAAACCAATGCAAGTCATTTTAACGCACACCAACACACCTCTTTGCCGCTCCATTTTGATAGATATTTTTGTTCATGTGGCACTTGTACGATAAATCATTACAGTGGTTGAGCACTTGCCAAACATCAACTGAAAATGCACTAATCCAATGAAAGTCACAGATCTGTATCGAAAAATTCGATGAAGAAATCGAAAAAATCACCAAAAAATCTGCCAAATTCCCATTGAAATCGCTATTTTCCGCAATAAATACAAAGTGTTTGCGTTGCATTTTCAAACATCGGGCAATACATAAATTTTTGTATTCGTAGCTGTCTTGATTGATTATATGAAAAATGTACGCACACAATCAAACCAACGGGGTACAGTAGCACCATTAGCAGCGTACATTGAAAATTTTGTATTTCTATGTGTCGCTGACATCCATGATGGGTGGTCACTGCTAAGAATCAAAAATTAAAAGAGAAAAAAAATATTGTGCTGTAAAATTCCTGTAAGAAAAAGAAACAAATCGAAATCAAAACGAATTTTCACAAAACCCAAAATCATTGTGTGAATGGTAAAAGGCTGTTCAAAATAGCGACACCGAAATCGAACGAAGAGGAAAGAAAAAAAAAAACACTAAATTTTGCGTTAGTAGTGAAGGAGACGATAAGAAAGCGGTGAAAATTATAATTGGTATTAGTGAAAATAAAGGAAGAAAAAAGAAGAAAATAAACCGCGTTAATTGGATAACATTTGTCATTTGTCAGAGAAAATACACAGCGAAAGCAAACATAATCTGCTAGTTCAGATCTAGGAATTTCACATTCAAGTGTAAGAGAACCACAGTTTTTTCGGAGAACTATCAAGTTGGATAAGTGAACAAGAGCAGCCAAAAATGTCGCAACCATTGCCCATTCGTTTCCAAGAGCATTTACAGGTAAGCAAGAATTGAACAGAAGAAAATATGCGGAACAATTATCATAATTAATTGCATCAAGTGAATAATTGATGCGTCAGTGGGAAGTGCGATGTTTAATTTTCAGAAATTTCATTAGGAAATTTCTCCAATCGAGACGACCGTTCGCTTCTTCTTCTTACTTTTCTTTGGTTCCACCATCATCGTACTCATCAATGACGACAACGACAGCGACATTGATTGAATGTACAAGTTGTTGTCATTGTCTTTGTGTTCACAACGAATCGAAAAGAACACATTTTAAACGGCCGGATTTTCCTCTGAAAAAATGTTGAGCATAATTTTAATGGGATTATCAACATTTCGATTTGGCTGTGATTTGCGAAAATCGCAGCATACCATTGCCAAAAACTACCGTTCATGTACGTTCGGAATGTGTGAGTGTATGCGTGCGCAAGAATCCAACTGTGTCGATGTGATACGTGTGTGAATGCCGAATAATCGGCTCGTTGCTTCTGCTGCTGCTGCTTGTGTGTGTATGAGTGTGAGTGTGAATGCTCAAAGAGTGCGTCAGTTTCGTTTTCATGTTTCAAGTCTTTTTTTTATTGTTTCGATACGTGTTGTTGTTTTTTTTCGATCTGTCTCTGTTTGTGTGACGATGAATTACAATAGGCTTCTTTGGTTCACTGACGCCCCTTTTCCAACGTAAAATCCGCCGCCGCCACCGCCACCGCTACGAGATTTTTTAATGCCTCTATTTAAGCTACATACTATTCTCTTTTTCGTTCATTCCTTCTCTACGAAAGATATGCGATCGCGTTAAACAGATTGTTTCGAGTGACATGCACTGCATCACAAGTGCAGTTCTCATAGTGTATTAAGCGATTGTCGACTAATACTATTCAATGCTTACATTTTTTGGATGGTTTCTTTTGTATTTTTTTCCGTTGTTTTTTTTGTTCGCTCTCTTTCGTTTCGCCGGATTGCTATTATTCTATTTGAAACTAAACGAACGAACGGACGTAGAAAAAAGATTTATGGCATTCAGCGAACGAACGACGATGATCGTGTGTTCAACGAGAGTGTGAGTCATTCAAACGGTTGAGCTACAGAGAAAATATGGGTCCATCCAAACAATCGTCACAACGAAATATACACACACAGAGCGAAACCATTGCGCATACATTTAGACAGATAAAAGGTGTGAATCGTTTGTTTGTTACATACGGAATGGAAACATACCCACAACACAAGCCAATCTGCCTCAATTTCTAATTAATATTCATTTTCTTTGCATTGATTGAATGGTGAACATGAATTTAGAAAATTACCCATTTTATTTTTAAATATTCATGTTGAACTTATCAACGATGATCACGAAATAATCCGTTCCAAACACGGACTAAATAACGGGTAATGGTTTCGCTTGGCATTTCCATGAATTGAACGAGTGACCGTGTGACGCAACTAGGTTTCTAGTTTAATACATTCGGCTCTTTGCTGTGCAAATATCTCGAAATCAGCATTCGATCGGTATGTACAACCGTTTCAATATGTGCGCGCTCACACTCGAAATGTGAATGGCATTGTGAACGCCACACTGACACTTTCGGCTTAATTCAAACGCTTGCATTCAATTGATTGAATATTTAGCAACAAAAAAATAGCGCTGCATAAGTAAAAGTGTGTGATTCTAATTTTCCATTTGATACTTTGCATGGCCAGTGTGATGCCAACGATATGTTCGTATCTGGCTGGCTGTGCATCAATCGAATACATACTTGCAACATTCTTACGTCTAACTGTGACGATTCCAAGTGCGCAAAATCAAATAAAAATTTACACTGATTTCTGTTTTTTTTTCATTCACCAATTGAAACCATACGGATCGGAGCTGTTAGTGATATTCGACTGTCGATTCGTCAATTAAGCATTACTCTTCATTCGACGCAATCACATTGTTGTCTGACTCTATTTTTGTGATGACTTCTTAAAATAAACAACGTCAACTGTTTGTCTGAATCAAACCATTGATTTCTACGTTTCGAATCGTGTAAATAGAATGTCGTCGTTGTACGGTCAGTCACGGGGCTAATGTGATAACAGGCGACAAATTGATCAGTTATTGAAGTGGTATATTTTGATTGTGAAAATTGAAAGTTTTATTTACTTTGAATTTCACGATAGATTGGACTAGAATATTTTCGATTTAGCATAATGTTTTATGGAAACACGAGATATTCGCATCAAACCGCCCCTTCATTCCGATTCAATTATGTTGTGACAACGGAGCACAAACCATCGTTGTCAACCATATTCCACACAAAAAAAGCCTTATCATAAGCCTCTTGTTGAGTATGCGTAAGCGATATCACCATATGTTAGCGTTTCCATTCTGCAGATATTCACGCCCAATGACTGTGTTGTACTCATACTGCTACTGATGCTGTTATCGATTTTTAGCACTACATGGAATGTACATAGGCTACTGTAGTGATTATTTTTTTCCAAGAAAATTTTAAGTCTTTAGGCCATTTTTTCGGACCGTAAATTTATTCATTTTACTCTAGGGGCTAACCACGGATTTTTTATTGACAAAATCTGTTTTTATCGCCCAATTTTAATGACATCCGTAAAAAATTGAAAAAATCTGTATATATTGAATTTTATCGTTTAATATCGACTATAAACGTTTAATGTGCTGGCGTCATTACCGATTCAAAAATGCTGGAAGTGGGTTTTGATGGATCCTCAGGATCGTTTAGTACTGCTCCCGGTTCTGGAAGTGGATCCCCAGGGTGGGCCAGGGCATTGTCAAACCCAGTCTGGTCCATCCTGAAGATCCACCAAAGCCCACTTCTAGAATCGGGAGCAGTTCTGAACAATCCTGAGGATGCACCAAAACCCGCTTCTAGAACAGTATGCATTCGTTAAAGCAAAAAAATTACTGCAGAAATCGAGCAAAATCGACCAAAATGTGATCATATCGGAATTTATTTGTTTAAATGATAAAAAATGTTAAAGTCGGTCATTATTGGTTATTTTTAGAACCGTGGTTAGCCCCTAGATTTTACTATCCATATTTTTTATTTCAAACTAAGCAATTACGCCTGAAAATGAAATAAAATCATGTTCATGTAATTCACTTTTGAGATAAACTGAAAACAAAATTTTACATTGTTTTCGTTACCAGTGTGAAATAATGTACAATGACCGTTAACATTGAATGTACATAAAACACATAAGTGAAGAATAGAATATCATAATATAAATTTTTTCAATTATTTTTGATATTATTAAAATGATTTATAGATAAAACTTGTGAAACAGACATTTCCAACGATTGAAACTACATTCCATGTAGTGCTGACGATAATAATTTGATGAGAAACATCAAAATAATTAAAACCCCTTAAATTTACAAGCTTCAAGAACGCAGAGCGGAGCGAAGCGACAATCTGCGGTCTTGTTTATCTATGTTTTCGACTTTCGACTTTCTGTCGATTTTTTTTTATCAGCAAATGTTTTCCCCCAATTTTCTGAAATTCCCGTCGAAAACGCTTCGGTACATTGTTGTTTGAGCGAAGGCACGCTTATTTTTGCTCAAACAGCAGTAAAAATATACTTCTCTTATACGACATGTTCGTGTGGAAAAGTAAAATGTAAGAATAAATTGAATTAAAAGAATGAATAAAAATAGCTCGGTACGGTCAAGATCAATAGCCGCTAAACGTCGTTTGCTATCGTAAAAAATAACCAACTCAAATTCACATACGAAATCAAATCATTCGAAACGAATTTAATTGTTTTGCTTTGTATGGTCGTCGTCGTCGATGCCTAGAGAGAGAGAGAGTCATTACTCTTGGTCATTTTCTTTCCGAACCGTTAATCAAATTAAACTCTGCCATTGGCGTATCGAATACGCAAAAAATAAGCCACAAATTTTCATGCTTGAAATGTCATATTATCCCGTCTCGCACCGTGTGGTGTACTACGTTCGATGCAAAGGTCTACGCTGCCGTTGTATACACGACGACTCAAGACACATTCTTACAGTGTATCGTTATCATGTGAGCGTTGCGATATCGCACAACACACAATGACAACAATATCCAATTGCTTGTGAGTGTGTTGTCGCCGCCGCCGCCGCTTGTAATTCACAAAATATTTCATATCATTTTGGACACTTGTGCAACATCTACTCGTTTTTTTAGTTCAATCAGAGTCGTTAAAGCACATGGATGTACAACAGCACAGCGTGTAGTCATACACAAAAACCACGTACACGGGCGAATTGACAAATTTACCGTCAGCGAACTTAGTAGGTCACGAAAGCTCTGGAAATACTAATAATCAATAACTCGACATTTTACTCAATCAATGCAATGTGGTCGGCTGAAGACTTATGAATCGAAACGGAATGCATTTAATTACCGACACATATTTTCCATCGCGGCACGTGAAAGAAAAAAAGATTTCGCGATTATGGAAAAACATTCTACATATTCTGAAATATGACGTGCAGCAATTTTATGAATGAGTTTGGGTCATTGCATTTCTTGCTTACGTCATTTACGCAAAGCAATCGAATTTATCATCCTGCATATTGAGGTCATGATCTTTGACGGCTTGTTTTTTTTTTCTCAAGGAAATGGGTTATTCTGGAACTTTTTTTGAAATACTATTTTTAAAATACTTTTTTTGAAGGTTTTTTTTTTAATTAAAGTAAAATACGGTGGAAATGAAAAATAAACGGATAAACCATTATTTCATAGAGAAAGAAAGAAATGTGGCGTTTTAAAATGAAGATAACCAAAACTGTTTCTTTTTTAATTCAACGGCTCATTTTTTTCCATTTGTTTGTTTATTGCGATTATCTTGATGAATGTTAAGTAGATTGCAGTGAAAAAGATAGAAAAATTATTTATGCGAAAATAAACATAAATCCACGTATAGTGTGATTGTGTATTCTGGGCACGTTTCACACCTATCAGAGGTGCAGCGATGCGTTTTGCTTCTTTCGATTCAATTAAGTAATTTATTTGTAACTTTTTTCATTCTTTCTCTCTTTGTTTCGCCACTCCATTGAGTGCTTTAACCATTCGCATTGAAATTGGCTTTCGAATGAGGGAAATAAACCGGTTGACAGATTTCTATGGAATTTTGTTCACCGGTTTTCCATTTATGCTGGTGTAGGTTTTTTTATGATTGATTTTTTTTTCGCATAGATTGCAGAATGTCAATAACACGCGGCTGAGTCGCCGTATTGAATGAATGCGAAAGATAGAGATAGAGAATTACTAAGCAGCACATTTTATTTGACTAGATTACTGACTTCCTTTTGCACACTAAGACTATGCCGCGTCTGCTTGATACGGGCTGGTACTTCAGCGCGTATGTCGTAAATGTATAATTAATTCAACTGGAAGATAAACAGACAAATGATGATACGAAATCACATAGCAAACTCTGAGAATATTACACATTGAATACATAACTAGTAGAGCTAGTGAGGACGATGTTGCATATTTACACAAATACATATTTCAAACGTCAAATACAATGTTTTATTTTTCTGAAACTGGTGACCGTCTTTTTCTCTCTTTCCTAATTCGATTCAATTGAAAATGCCCTTTCACCGAGACACACCGACGACGATGATGTCAATTGTCCAAAATTGAAAGTGATGAAAGAGTGCTCCTAAATAGCCAAAACCATGTCTAAACATATGACATACACAAAATTGGGTAAATCATACACGCATATCACTGGATAAAATGGTCGGTTTTGCCTGCAATGCGGTTTTGAAAAGAATTCCTGAAATTTCCCTCTTTATGATCATGTATAAGAGTTGAAATGGTTTTATGCGGAAGAATTCATGAAATGAGCCAAGCGCACCATCATCTAGTTTATGATTGCAATTTTCTATTTTTATGGTAAAAGATAAAATTTGTATCGATTTCGCGTAGCAACAGCAACAGTTATCAGAAGTTTAAGAGAAGTAAATGTGGACGAAGAAGCAGTAAACGCGAATGCACACAGAGTTAGCAAGCTTACTGCGGAAAAGTATATACACACGTTGTACGTAGGAGTTGCTCGAATGGGGCCAAATATCGATTTTCCATCTTTTCGCGAAGGTGTTTATTTTCCTTCGTTTCTTATGGTTAATCCAATGAAAGTAATGGCCTTACATCCATCCTATTTAAACTATCGCACTTCCATACTGAAATGGATACCATTTCAGAGTAAAATCGCTTCATTTAGTCAGAATGCGATTTTAAAATTAAAAATTCCATTTGGCAAATGATATTCATGAACGAAATGTCGATAAAAAGAAAGCAGAGATGAACAATTCAAATCGTTGACAAATGAGTTCAAAGACATTTAAATTGCAATGCTGTTAATGAATTGCATCATCATCCAATTAAAATGGAAAGCCGTGTGCAATAATGGAATTTACAATCGTTTTTTTTTCTCCTTTGTCATTTACAGCTCACAAATGCCGGCATCAATGCGAATTCCATTTCGTTTACGACGCTCACCATGGAGTCGGACAAATTTATTTGTGTGCGTGAAAAAGTCGGCGACAATAATCAGGTAGTTATCATCGATATGAATGACACGGCCAATCCAATTCGTAGACCGATTAGCGCCGACTCAGCAATCATGAATCCAGCAAGCAAAGTCATTGCCTTGAAAGGTATGTAAATCGTTAGCACTAGCGCGCAGACAAATACACACACAGTCACATTTACCAAAGTCATAACCGTAAAATGGAATAATTGCATTTTTTTCAATATTTTTTTTTCTACAGCTGCAAAAACCCTACAAATTTTCAACATTGAAATGAAATCGAAAATGAAGGCGCACACAATGACAGAGGAAGTGGTGTTCTGGAAGTGGATATCATTAAATTCGTTAGCGCTTGTGACGGAAACATCAGTGTATCACTGGTCGATGGAGGGTGATTCAACACCTCAAAAGATGTTCGATCGGCATGCAACGCTGAACGGTTGCCAAATCATCAACTATCGCACCGATCCAAAACAACAATGGCTGTTGTTGGTTGGAATTTCCGCATTGCAACACCGTGTCGCTGGTAATATGCAATTGTATTCGGTTGAACGTAAAGTGTCGCAAGCAATTGAGGGTCATGCAGCCGCATTTGCCACATTCAAAATGGAAATGAATCCAGAACCATCGACTTTGTTCTGTTTCGCTGTGCGATCGGCACAGGGTGGTAAATTGCATGTGATCGAAGTTGGTACACCAACAACTGGTAATTCACCATTCACAAAGAAAGCGGTCGATGTCTTCTTCCCGCCCGAAGCTCAAACTGACTTTCCGGTTGCAATGCAAGTGTCCGCCAAATATGATGTCATCTACTTGATCACGAAGTACGGTTACATTCACATGTACGACATTGAATCGGGCACATGTATATTCATGAATCGTATTTCGGCCGATACCATTTTTGTGACGGCACAACATGAATCCAGTGGCGGCATCATCGGCGTGAATCGTAAGGGTCAAGTGCTATCGGTGACCGTTGACGAAGAGCAAATCATTCCATACATTACGAATGTACTACAAAATACCGATTTGGCCTTACGAATGGCTGTGCGCAACAATCTATCGGGTGCTGAAGATTTGTTTGTCCAACGTTTCAATGCATTGTTCCAGAATGCACAGTACGCTGAAGCGGCCAAAGTGGCCGCATTGGCACCGAAAGGCATCCTACGAACGCCACAAACCATTCAGAAATTCCAACAGGTTCAAACGCCAGCGGGTGCCTCATCACCACCGTTACTGCAATACTTCGGTATTTTGCTCGATCAAGGCAAATTGAATAAGTATGAGTCGTTAGAACTGTGCCGTCCGGTGTTGTTGCAGGGACGCAAACAACTGTGCGAAAAGTGGCTGAAGGAGGAGAAGCTTGAATGCAGCGAAGAATTGGGCGATTTGGTGAAACCAACCGATTTGACATTGGCCTTGTCCATTTACTTGCGTGCAAACGTACCGAACAAAGTGATCCAGTGCTTCGCCGAAACTGGCCAATTCCAAAAGATCGTATTGTATGCCAAGAAAGTTAACTATACACCTGACTACGTCTATTTGTTGCGTTCGGTGATGCGAACCAATCCGGAGCAGGGTGCCAGCTTTGCTGGTATGCTTGTCGCTGATGAGGAACCATTGGCCGATATTAATCAAATCGTAGACATTTTCATGGAACAAAATATGGTGCAACACTGTACCGCCTTCTTATTGGATGCGCTGAAACGGAATCTACCACAAGAGGGTGCGCTTCAAACGCGCTTATTGGAAATGAACTTGTTGTCAGCACCACAAGTTGCCGACGCTATTCTAGGCAATTCAATGTTCACCCATTACGATCGCGCACACATCGCTCAACTGTGCGAAAAAGCCGGCTTATTGCAACGCGCTCTGGAGCATTACACCGATTTGTATGACATCAAACGTGCTGTGGTCCATACCCATTTGTTGAACGCTGATTGGCTCGTCGGCTTCTTTGGCACACTTTCCGTCGAAGATTCATTAGAATGCCTGAAAGCCATGCTTACCGCTAACATTCGCCAGAATTTGCAAATTTGCGTTCAAATCGCCACGAAATACCACGAACAATTGACCACAAAGTCGTTGATTGACTTGTTCGAGAACTTCAAGAGCTACGAAGGTTTATTCTACTTCTTGGGCTCGATTGTCAACTTCAGCCAAGATTCTGAGGTGCACTTCAAGTACATTCAGGCCGCCTGCAAGACCAACCAGATCAAGGAAGTCGAACGCATTTGCCGTGAATCGAATTGCTACAATCCCGAACGTGTTAAGAACTTCTTGAAGGAAGCCAAACTCACCGATCAATTGCCATTGATCATTGTTTGCGATCGCTTTGATTTCGTGCACGATTTGGTGTTGTATTTGTACCGTAACAACTTGCAAAAGTACATTGAAATCTATGTGCAAAAGGTGAATCCATCACGGTTGCCAGTCGTTGTCGGTGGATTGCTCGATGTCGATTGCTCTGAGGATATCATCAAAAACTTGATTCTGGTCGTCAAAGGTCAATTCTCTACCGATGAATTGGTCGAAGAGGTCGAGAAACGTAATCGTTTGAAGTTGCTTTTGCCGTGGTTGGAATCACGTGTGCACGAAGGATGCGTCGAACCAGCAACGCACAATGCATTGGCCAAGATTTACATCGATTCAAACAACAATCCAGAGCGTTTCTTGAAGGAGAATCAATATTATGACAGCCGTGTGGTTGGTAAATACTGCGAAAAACGTGATCCACACTTGGCATGCGTTGCATACGAACGTGGACAATGCGATCGTGAATTGATTGCTGTATGCAATGAAAATTCACTGTTCAAATCGGAAGCACGCTACTTGGTGCGTCGTCGTGACACCGATTTGTGGGCTGAAGTACTATCCGAAAGCAATCCATACAAGCGCCAATTGATCGATCAAGTGGTGCAAACCGCTTTGTCGGAAACTCAAGATCCCGATGATATTTCGGTCACCGTCAAGGCATTCATGTCAGCCGATTTGCCAAACGAATTGATTGAATTGCTTGAGAAGATCGTTTTGGATTCATCGGCCTTTTCCGATCATCGTAACTTGCAAAATCTCTTGATTTTGACCGCTATCAAAGCCGACAACACTCGTGTCATGGACTACATCAACCGTTTGGACAACTATGATGCTCCGGATATCGCGAACATTGCGATCGGCAATCAATTGTACGAAGAAGCGTTCGCTATTTTCAAGAAGTTCGATGTCAACACCTCAGCCATTCAAGTGTTGATTGAACATGTCAACAATTTGGAGCGCGCCAACGAATTTGCTGAACGTTGCAACGAGCCAGCCGTTTGGTCACAATTGGCAAAGGCACAATTGCAACAAGGCTTGGTGAAAGAAGCTATCGATAGCTACATCAAATCCGATGACCCAAGCGCATACATGGACGTCGTTGAAACGGCCAGCAAAGCCAATTCGTGGGATGATTTAGTGCGTTACTTGCAAATGGCACGCAAGAAGGCACGCGAAAGTTACATTGAAAGTGAGTTGATCTACGCCTATGCTCGAACTGGCCGCTTTGCCGATTTGGAAGAGTTCATTTCGGGACCAAACCATGCTGATATCCAGAAAATCGGCGACCGATGCTTCAACGATGGCATGTACGATGCAGCCAAGCTCCTCTACAACAATGTCAGCAATTTTGCTCGTTTGGCCATCACATTGGTTCACCTGAAGGAATTCCAAGGCGCTGTGGATAGTGCACGCAAAGCCAACTCGACACGTACATGGAAAGAAGTGTGCTTTGCCTGTGTCGATGCGCAAGAATTCCGTTTGGCACAAATGTGCGGTCTTCATATTGTCGTTCATGCCGATGAGCTCGAAGATTTGATCAACTATTACCAAGATCGCGGCCACTTTGATGAGTTGATTGCTTTGTTGGAAGCTGCTTTGGGCTTGGAACGCGCTCACATGGGCATGTTCACCGAATTGGCCATTCTCTATTCGAAATACAAACCATCGAAGATGCGCGAACATTTGGAATTGTTCTGGTCACGGGTCAATATTCCAAAGGTGTTGCGTGCCGCTGAATCGGCTCATTTGTGGTCGGAATTAGTATTTTTGTACGACAAATATGAGGAATACGATAATGCTGTGCTCGCCATGATGGCTCATCCAACTGAAGCATGGAGAGAAGGTCACTTCAAAGACATCGTCACTAAAGTAGCCAACATTGAATTGTATTACAAAGCAATCCAATTCTATTTGGACTACAAACCATTACTGTTGAACGATATGCTATTGGTATTGGCACCACGTATGGATCACACACGAGCTGTTAGCTTCTTCACGAAAACTGGTCATTTGCAACTTGTAAAACCGTACTTGCGCTCTGTGCAAACGCTTAACAACAAGGCAATCAATGAAGCTTTGAACGAACTACTGATCGACGAAGAAGACTACCAAGGACTACGTACATCAATCGATGCATTCGACAACTTTGATAACATTGCACTCGCACAGCGATTAGAGAAACACGAACTCACTGAATTCAGACGCATTGCCGCATACTTGTACAAAGGTTTGTATCGACTTTTGCCTATTTGGTGGGCATTTTTAGACAGTTTACACCAATTGCATTGAATTCTTCGATAAATTACGTTAAATTTTGGCTTTTGGACAGTTTTTTTTTAATGAATTGCTCATAACCTGAATTGGTTTCTTTTTTCAACATAGGCAACAACCGCTGGAAGCAAAGTGTTGAACTCTGCAAAAAGGATCGCTTGTTCAAAGACGCAATGGAATATGCCGCCGAATCAGGAAAACAAGAGATTGCCGAAGAGCTATTGGGATGGTTCTTGGAACGTAAAGCATTTGATTGCTTCTCCGCCTGCCTTTATCAAGTATGACCATTTAATCTCTTGACTATTTGTGTGAGCATTTTGCTAAATAAGCATTTGATTTCAGTGTTATGATCTATTGCGACCCGACGTCATCATGGAACTGGCATGGAGACACAAGATCATGGATTTTGCAATGCCGTACATGATTCAGGTAAGGAAACATATCATCAAGACTTCATGTTCTTTTTCTTTTTATTTTTCTTCTTCTTTTGATTGTACTTTTCTCCTTTTTTCACAAGAATCTTTAAAATTCCTTCGAGAAAAGGGTTTTAACGTGGATTTCATTTCTGTAAAACAATTGTCAATCAAAAAATATACATGGTTTATCTAACTATACACACACAATTGTGTAGAACAAAGTTACCAAAAATTTCGACTAAATTCAATCGTCTCTCCCCCCCTTTGATGAAACTATAGGTAATGCGAGATTTAACCACAAAGGTGGAAAAATTGGAAGCAAGTGATGCACAACGACAAAGGGACGGTGAACAAACGGAAGAGAAACCAATCATTTTGCCTGAGCCACAGCTGATGATCACGGCCGGTCCAATGGGCATGGTACCACCGCAATACGGTTACGGTAACGTTCCACAACCAACAGTTGCTTATCAACAACAGCATCCATACCAAGGATATGGCATGTAAAAACATCATTAACTCAGCAGAAATAAAAATAATAAAAATAACGCAACGTGCAAATTAGAGAGCATCAACTGGTTTATCTAACGTTTAATCAGAATCAAACAACAAAAACACACACACACACACAAGAAATTTTGAAAATTAAATTAATCATGTTTGACGTAAAATCATAGCGAAAGATGTACAAAAAAAAGAAGCGGGAATATTGAGTATCTGTTTTTCTTTTTTTGTGTCGAAATTATGGAACCAGTTTGAAGGCCACTTTTGTGACACCTGAGACAAAGTCTTGCACAGCATTTAGTTTCCATTAGAATAAAGAGAAGAAAAAAATACACAAGTGAAGGTGAACAAAAAATATGATAAAAAATCTAAGCTGTAGTATCAATAACCTTCTTCACGGATTTAGTTTCGTCTGTTTAAATTAATTCTGAATTAACTTTTGTTTCAATAGAAATACGTTGCCGCCGTTGTGTCAAGAATTAATGAAAAAAATTGTCAACTTTTGCTAATTAATAATATTATTCTGCATAGAAATCGAGTTCTGTACATTTAGAGAGATATGTTAATGTTTATGTTATATTCAAAATAATATTGAAAACAAAAAGTCCTACACACATTTATATATAAAAAAACAACAACAAAAACAACAGCCCATAAGCTTTGTTCAAATAAGAACCAAGCGTTCGAATCGAACACTCTGTACGGCACACATACACAACACTTTCCAATAGCTACAGTGAAAGATGGTCCGACAACCCCTTTCATATTCTATTACAACATTATATAACTTTATCGTTTAAGGCAATTTAAATTGATTTTAAATAAAGTATATTTCTATCAATAAATTGATTTCATTTTGGTTTGCTTTTTTTGGTTTTTTATAAGTTTTTTTCGTTTCTTCTTTTTTCGAATCCGATCCATTGGTTTTAGTTTAGTCTTTGCCTGAAAAAATTGGTTTATTGGACAATAATCCAATGATAATGGAATGTCGCTCGTAAAGTCATTGGAAGCCGCAAGCAAATATCCATAGGAAAACCAAATTTCTTATCACATTGTATATATCGCACTAAATATTCACTGACTAAACTTCATTGGTCCTCATTGACGCCAAGTCAGTCTAATGAGCGTCTTATGCAAACATTATCCATTATTAAACAAACAAAACGAGAAAAAACACTTAAAAATAATGATTTAGATGAGATTTTAGTTAACAAAAAAGACAAAACGACTAGACATGTAACGAAGATTAGATAAATAAAACGTCAAAAATAAAAACAAATCTTCTGAATATGAACATTGAACACTCTATGTCATTAAGACAATAGCTTTTTTTTCTTGAGACACATCACCTCGAAAATAATAAATGGATCAAATAGACGAGCATAATTCAGGTTATAACATTAACAGTAAAAAAACAGACTTGAAAAACTATTATACTTAACCATGATACTGATGATCGAAGTGATTCGACTCGATAAATATACTAACAGACATTACTTATGGCCGTATTTATATAAAAAAAGAATTAATCCCTATTTTGAAATGAGTTGTGTTTTTCGATTTTCATCTGTTCCAGAAAATCAACAAGTTTATTTTACTTATCGAATTGAAAATGGTTTTACAATGAGTTCAACTAAGCGTTTTGAAGTTTCTAAACAGAATAGTTTTTTTGTGTGCGAAAAATTATTCAAATTCCACTTGAGTTACATAAAAAAATTCCATGCAAATATGTTTGACTACAAGTAAAAAAATGTATAAAATGCTGAATAGTTCTTGTTCTGAATGAGTTAATAACAATTTCAAATAAAGTTTAATGAATGAAGTGAATTCACGGTGTGATTTATTCATGTTTTTTTTTCTTGTTTAGAAAATAGAGACAAATCAATTCGCTGAAAATTCCTTTTGACGGTCTTTTTGTTCAAAAGCAGCTAAGCAGTGGCATTTTAAATAGATGATTTGTGGAATCGATTCCATCAATTTTTCTGATTAAACACATGGGGAAATCAGCACCTACTTCCATCTTGAGTCCTTGTCACTATACTTACTTCATAAATGGAAATGCAAATAGCTCACCGCATTGGCTGAAATCCAAACATAAAATTCAATAAGTTGGATCGTTACTTTGAGTCATTGATAAACTAATTGCAAAAGACAACACCAATTAACGAAAAATTCTGGAAATTCACTGCAAAGCAATTAGTCAGAGGTATAAAATGCTCGTTCTAACTGAAAAGAAAAAAATGCTATGGGAAGGAAAATTGAATATGATTTTTAGCGTGTTAAAGTACAAAATTTTAACATAAATTCGGGTTTCTTTATTTATTTCTATTGAGTTGTATTACAAATTATAGGTTTTGTTCATGTTATTTATTCAAATGGGATTTTTCTTATTTCAACTACGAACATTTATAATAACGGTATTTTAGATCTATACTATTGACGACGTCTGATTTCGATCAGCTTCAAGTCCATCTCTGTTGTCTTCCATTTGGTTGCCAAGTAATTGGACTCGTTCAGGTAAATCATTACTTTGCTGACATTGTACAACGGGTTGGCCAACAATTTTTCACGCTAACGAATCGTAAGTCACGATTTATTGCGACTGGATTGATAGCGAATGGACGGCGTCTATTTTTATCACAGACGACGAGCTTTTTCAATTGTACTGACCAGTGAATAAACGGTAAAATGTCATCTATGCTGACGGCTCCATTAAATCGCACCTCATCGAGATCTTTGAGGCTCTGCGCCGATGCTGTCATATTTGTGTAACGCTCAATTCCCAACACTTTCAAGTTTACAAATGGTGACAAATCGATATCTTCTTATTGAGAATCATTTGTGCAAAGTTCAACGAGAGACTTCAACCGGCTTAGTCGGTCAATTTCACCTTGGATAGCAGCTATCATAGAAACATGCAACTGTTTATATACGCCTTTAGTATGTAGTACATCCAAGAGATCAAAACCGATTAGTTCATCTGACTCACTTATGTATAGGTCATCTAATTTGACTTCCATAAACGCAGTTTTGTTTATTTCAAGAAAGTCTGAGTTCGTTGAAAATGATCGAATTGATGGATTTAGCTGGAAAAACTTTTGAAACTTATCTATGTCAACCCTTGGTACGTTATCATTATACCATTTTAAATGCTCGAGTCTCAGGAATTCATGGGAGAGCCATTCATCATCAATCTCAGTAGTATCAATTTCCAAGCATTTCATGTTCGTACAAAGTCCAACAAAACGCTAAAGTAGTGGTCCATCACCTATTGTACACCAACTCAAGTCAACACTTTCAATTTGGTTCATCATTTGCTTCGGCATCTTTTTGACTGCTTCCAAATGAGGGAAGTGATTTAAACACATTTCCTTTACTGATTTGAATGCTTCCCAATCAACATTAGTCGAATTCAGTCCTCGACCGCCACTAATTAACAGAATCTTGGCATATTCACGCAGACCAACGTATTCGCTATCATAATGGAAAACATATTCTGGCATTTGCTGCTGATAAAAATGCCCTACAACTCGTTGCATTCGCGTACAGGTTTGTGCAAAGGAATGTAGATCTTTGATGGATAGATAATCGAACACTTTTTCCAAGCAATCGACGTTCAGCTTGAAGATTTGCGGTGATGGTTTTACAACGACCACGTTTTGTTGTTGTTCATTTGCTCGTTTTGCCTGTTTGTCATCGATATTTTGTAGTTCCATTTTGGTGCTGTGTGGTGTGGTCTTTCGTTGTAGTCAAAGTGAATGACGTAATCGACAAGTGGAATCCTAATTAAAGATCATCAGAAGGAAATATTCATTTGAAATGATGGTAATAAAAACAATGGGAAATCTTTTTGAAACCTTCCATTTCGAAATCATTAATAAATTATTATTGATATAAACCTTACCAAAGTTTTGCTCCAAGAAATATTGGAACGCTGACTCATCGGCTTTAAATGGCGTCGTATTTCTGTGTTTGTGGTCGTTGCACAAATACGTGTGATTGTGTGCTATTTCACGACAGTACGAAATACGTAAACGAGTTGTTCTCTAAATGGATCGAAGCTGTTGCTGTGTTTATTTCGTTCGATAAGCAATATTTTTGGTTTAACTAAATGCCAACAAATTATTTTCTTTGAAACTGTTTCGAGTGACTTATTGAGTTGTGTGAATGCTTGCAAACTAAACTCTCAACTGACCTAACGTTAAGCGGTCGGTGAATTGGACAGATAGATTGGTGCTCATTGAATCGGTTGAAATTGAGACAACCGCTACATCGATACACGGTATCAATCCGCATCGTAAAACTGTAAATGAGAAATGCGCCGTTTTAATTGGCAACATTGGCAAGGGACACATTGGCGTATGAACATTTTTCAGAGCCACACTTCAATAATGATATTTGATGATATCAAATAATTATAACCAATTGGCTACTGCTTTCATTATTATTGCAAGAGAATTTGAATTTCAATTGAAAGTCCAGAACTAGATTAAAGTCACTTTTCTGGCACCAAAGAAAATGGAAATAAACTATTACCACAACGATGTGAAAGAGTTGGTTGTTCTTGTATTTTTGGAATCTTTTTCTGCACTCGAATCGCACTATCGACAAATATTGGGTTCGGATCAATAGTGAATGGAAGTATCAATCTTCATCTTATAAGAACTAAATTATACGTACCAACAAATCTATGCTTAACTTTGAAACAAATAAAACAATTGGACTGTCACACACAAAATGATCTTTATTACTTTACTCGTGACTCGTTTTGCATACATACAATAATTATCTTCGTAACGGTTTATTTCATGTTGTTAGTGTCCTGATTACTTCAATACATGTTAGAGTGAATGTTTATTTGTTTTTTTCTTTTCGGTTTATTGAATATTATGTTTAAAACTCGCGACGATGATATTTGTCTGGGTCAAAGTAGGATGTGACGACGACACGGTCACTGAATTTACGTCCCGTCAAAGCTTGTTGTGCCTTTTGACAGTCCATAACCGAATTGAATTCGACAAATACCTGCAAATCAGAATTAAACGTAGTTAAAAAATTTATTCAAAAATTTTTTTTTCGTAAATTTACCTTGCCACATCCGGGCACCTCCACTCCTTCAATGGGCCGTGGGATTTCGATACTTCGAACGACTCCGTATTTGTTGCATTCTTCTCGGATATCCTCCATAATATCTTCGTATTCATCCTCTTCAATTAGTTCGTCGGGTGTCACCATGTTCAATAGGCAAAGTACTTCAGTAGCAGGGCCCGAAGTGCCAACCATCGATAGACCTGGCACTTGAATTTGAACTGGAGCTGCTTGTACGTTGGATGAATTTGCATTCTTTGCACCAACACTAGCCCGCTGAACGATCAACTTCTTGTCACCCAATTGCATTCCATTTAATCCAGCAATAGCCTATAGACAGCAAAGACCATTGGAAAATTATTAAAATTGAAACAAAATATATTCTTTTAGTCATTCTCCGAAGGTTTTTTTGTTGCTAAACGAAAAATTCAACGAGCAATCCGTTAGATATCGTACCTGGTCTGTAATGTTAAAGTCAACATATTCGGCGAAAGCGTAACCTTTGCTCAAGCCAGTTGCTGCGTCCTTCACCAGATTGAACGCACGTAGTTGTCCAAAAGATAGAAGCAATTCTTTCACCTGAAAATATTGTTAAAAATTAGTTCTTGTGTGTTTTAAGTTGAAATTTCAACTTTTCATCTTGTTCATAATGTCGATTTCTACGGAAACTCCAACTAAATCTAACGCGTTTGCCCTTTCCATAGCGTACTTACGTGTATCGCATTTGCTTACTGATCAATTCTTATAAAAAAACTATTTCTGATTGGCGAAGTCAGTTTGACAGTAAGCAAATGGATTGACATTGTAACGTGAAAAGTTAAAGTAAAAAATAACTAAGGAAATCTAATGAATTTTGTTACATGAGAATGCTAAACAAACCAATGGATTTGATAGCAATTCGTTGAATGCTAAATGCTCTTTTTCGCGAAAGAAAAATGTCCGATTGTACGGAACATTAAAAACATGAGAATAATCAGACATTTGTTTGCCCTGCCATTTTCTATACAATTTTTCTGTTGTTGTTGCTTATTTTGTGTTGAATAATAGTCGCACACTTGCCTTCATCAAGAGATAGATAGAGAGAGCAATTCCAGACACAGTATTTAAATGGTCGTTTCGTAAAATGTGTAGACAATAAAATTGGAATCGGACTTATGTGCGTGGTTCATATTGGTATTTGGTTTTAACGAATTTTGATACATGTTCACCAATTTTAAGAAAAATGTTTCAATCGTACGCGACCACCCGATCGTCTACAGTCATAGCGCCAAAAGAAATTGGAAGGAGGAGAAGAAAAACAAAACACTTTAGTCATGGCAATCAAGACAATGTGAATTAAAAAAAAAACAATCAAGTAGTAAATGACAACGTTTGTTTGCTTTGATCGCGCGCGCGCATTGAGTCTGAAAGGCTGAAAAATGCTAGAAAAATTTGCTGCAAAAAATTGTGTGACTGAAAGACAAAACACATTCTGTTTTCTCCGAATTTCTTTTGTTTGCCTGGAAATAAATACTGTGGAAATGAAAGAAAGATGCATGTTGTCGACTTATTGATTCCTGTAAAAATCAAATGTGAAACGACGACGCATTATTAGCTCATCCGGATTGAATTGAAACCTAAACCTGAAACACAATAAATTCGAACGTTGCTTTCAGCCTATTGATGAGCTATTGAGGTGCAATGAAAAAAGAAGACAAATGCTAAAAGAAAACGAAAAATTTCACTAAAATGTGATATGACACACAGCCAGATCACACCTAGAAAATGTACAATTTCCGCTGAAAAGATAAAAATGCTATGGGAAGAAAAATTGAGTTGTGTGTTTTTGTTTTTGCTTCATTGGTTGGTGTTACAATTTGCTGATGGGGAGGAAGAGAGATAGAAGAAAACGAAACCACTGAAAACATTCAAAATGCAATAACAAAATCCAAAGTGTCATTCGTTGGATATGGCATTTTTCTTTGTATCATCACGATACTATCGTCTTATAACATCACCTAAATTCGAAAAAATAACCTTTTTTCCCTGTTTTTTTTCTTTCGCAACATTTTCTGTGTCTGTCCACACAATTCACAACGTATCGCTATGTTTGTCTGTGTGTGGGTATGTAAAGTGAGTGAGCAATTTACCTAAATCCTATAAATTGGTGAAATTTGTTTTTGTTGTTGTTTAAAAAAGAAAAAAAAATGATAAAGATATGAACGAAATTAAACGCATAAACCCGACTGAATTTCGAATTGATTGTGTGTGTTTGTATCCATATTGCGGTTGACCCCAATAGAAAGCCGTGAATTGATTTGGAGTTTGTGTGCGGTTTGAACGCGATATTTTTTGCTAAAACTTTTGCGTAACAAATTTCTGTGTGTGTTTTTTTTTGCTTTTCTGATTGCGAGGGACTCTTTGATTTCTCCGTAATATTTTTCGTTTATCATAGATAAATTTTTGTTTCGTTAAAAATAAAAACAAGCAAACAAATAAAACGTAAATAAAGAAAAAAAAAGAAATCGTTTACACAATTGAACCCAACGGCTGCAATCTTACTTACCTGGTCTTCGTTCAAGTAGTTTGGCAAACCGCCAATGAAAATTTTGTGCGGTGAATCAGGAACGACCGTACTTATGACACCGCTAACCGGTCCAACTTGATGGTTATTGCCCGAATTTACGGCACCATCGCTCATGCCAGGCATCGGCTGATAATCGTGTGGTCGACGAATTTTAAGACTCTGACCCTTGAAATTGATGCCATCGAATGCCATTGCCTGTGTGGTCTCGTCAATCGAACGGAATTCCAGAAATGCAAAGTTTTTATCGAGATTTATTTGACATGCCAACACTGGGTTGCCAGCCGCTTGTGCTAGGCCGGACAGATGCATTTGGTCGTTGAAATAAGCCATCATTTCGTCTTCGGTGACGCCGAACGGTATGTTGCCAACGTATAATCGTCGGGCTTGTCGTGTTATTGTGCTTCCCACAACCGGTACGGCTGCTTGCGGTGTATCAGCCACAATATTCGCTGGTATTTGACCAGCTGCTTGCATCGCTTTGTATTGAAGCGGTGTGATATGTTCAAAACCTACGGAAAAATGAAATTTTTTTTACTCACAGTCCTTCAAAATTTATGAAATTAAATATGCTAACCTGGTGGTGGAACATCCCAGTACAATGAACACTTTCGTCTGCGAGAGCGTTGCTTCTTCGGCGAACGTGAGCGGCTGCGACCTCCTCGTCTAGCTCCTCCTCTATGGCCATCCGGCGATCGGCGAGTGCGGTCTCTGCTACTGCTACGAGAACGGTCTCGCGACCTATTTCTCCGCGTATTTCCGCGCTCTCCAACACCACCTCTCAATTGCCTATCACCACGGTCACCACGGTCACGATCTGAAATTTCCAATCAAAATGCATCACACAGATTATTGCAGCTGTCATCAATAGACGTTGTCAATCGTTTGCGTGTCCAAGCTCATACACAAACGAAAAGCCCAAAACAATTCAATCCACAAAATATTTCGATTCCGGAGATTAATTCTAAAAAGTTTACACTATTCATCGATATTTCGATGCAATGCTTAAAAATCCCATGGCAAACCAATGATTTCTTCGCTGCGATGAGTCGAACATAGAACACATTGGAAGCGATGCTAATTACGCTGTAATAAACAATACAAAAACTCACCTTCTGCACCCATGTTACGGCTCTGAATTTTGCTGAAATCAATTAATCACAACTGTTTTATGTATTTCGGCCAAATTTAACACGTTTCGTCGCGAAATATTGATGCAATCCGACAAAACCGACCAGAGAATCAATGCAAAGAAATGTGTACAGCGTTGATTTGAGTTCTCTTTAATATAATTTTTTTCAAGATGGCGGAATGACAGCTAAAATACCGCGGCGCGTACAAACTGTTTTTATCAGTGTGCATACACTGTTCAGATGTCAAACACATGGCACAGGGTTCAATAATTCCATTCAGCATCTGCTAAGTACTTTTGTGTATTTAAACGGAAATTACAACAAATTAAAGAGTTAGTTTAAATATAACGTATTCGATTATAGTATATATTAGATTTGATATCGTAAACAACGAACCCAGCGATGAAAATAATACCTTTCTTTTCCAATTTTTAGGATTTTTTCTATTTACAGTTTGGGTTAGGTTTCTTCGCTTTTATTAAGTAGTATTTTGAATGTTTAGATACGCCTGTTCCAATGTGGATTGTATGTGAATGAAAGACTGTTACAGTGTCATAATCTACGTGCAGCTGATTTTAAAGTTTTAAATTATATCAATTCAAAAATTGTGTTTGATTCGCAAACTTCCAATTTTTTTTGCCAACGTGAAAATTTGAAAAAATATGAAATATGAAATGATTACTTACAATTCTGAAACGTCCATATACTAAATAATGAATTAGTATTATAGTTTCCATTCAGATCATTTATTATTTACAAGTTACATTCCGTATTCAATGAATACTATTCATTCATGGGTATTCGAATTATTTTGAATGGTTTATGCCAGTAAAAGCAACGTGGGCTTTTTTCATACAATTATAAAAATTTATAGTCATGGTCATGGCTTTAGCGGAAAATTATTAGAGTAAATTTTAGCGCCCATGAGATAAAGAATAAAGAACAGTTTTGAGGCATAGCTCATGCCGCATGGTATGTCATGAAATACACCTATTTCATAGTTACGGCTGTTGATTGGCCTGGAAGATTTGATTCCTACCGTTCAATTCAAACACGTAAATGAATTCATATTCACTTGAACGAGATTAATCTCTATCTTCTTCTCTCTATATAATTTTCATTCCAAAATTTTATTCGAAAAGGAAATTAAGTTTGGCTTTTGGTGTGAAATTCAAAAGGTTTCTTCACATCTATAGGGGCTTATTTGTCATCTATAGGGGCTTATTTGTCACACGAGTCATTGCAAATCTCACAAGTCAGTACAAAATGGATATTCTGCACATTCGTAGAATATTTTAGCATGCCTTTATCGAAGCTCTCTCGAATTCGTCCAAAGGGATATTGCAACTTTTTCGAACAGAAAAAACGCCATCTAACGCTGTGCCCGTAAATTATTTTACTGTGCATTTAGATGATAGAGCTTGAAGAAAAGTTCGACACTATGCATAATCTTGGAAAGAGCTTGATAAACTTCATGAAATACATATATTTTATGGTCGTTGCAATACCCCTATGAACAAAGCTAAGTCCATTGTAATGTAACGCAACAATTCAAGTATTTCGGATAAAATTTTGTTATTCAAGTCATGCAACTGTGATAGAAAATAAAAGCAAATTGCCCGTAAAAAATGTGATGGAAGTGGCTATTTTACACTGTATAATTTAAAATTTGGAGTTCGTTTTGCGCTCTCTATTTTGAAGTAGTTCATTTTAAAGACATTTACTATTACAAGTTTATGACTTTCAAGTACCGACTTACCTCTTAAAGTCTTTGACTCATGACTGCAATGATGAAAATCTTCTTAAAAAAATTCGTCATGAATGAACTTAATGATGTGCACATTAAATTTACATTTAATAGCTGCTACTCCGAAATGTATTTATTTACAGGTAATTTTTTTAAAAATTAATTTGAAAGACTAAATCCATAAAATACAGTGCATTTCACTTAACTTAGCCTTCGAATCGGGCTGGGTTCCAAAAGCGCGAAAGCATGACAATAATTTAAGTTCGGATTCTGTTTTTCCACCGTTTCAAAGCACAAAAGGCTAAGTTAAATGATATTCACGGGCTGTGAATCACAGTCAACACTTCGAAAGTATGTTTCCATGATGAATTTAAGGGAGGATCAACTTTCGATGCTAAAATCGCTTATTGTTCGTGCGTGTGTTAATGTGGTCCATAATGGCGAATGGTCAACGCTCGACGTTTGAAATATGCGTCGCCGTTTGCTTTCGCGGTGTCGTTCATGCAAACATTCCGCAATGCCATTTTCCATGCAACGTTTTTTCTTTGGACAATGTGATATACTGCTGAGTGTTTTACTTTTACTGAGAGTTTTACGTTGTCCGATGCCATATGTACCGTTGTCGAAGCTTTTTGACCGGACTATGGCACCGTTCTTGAGGCTGCTCCTTCGTTTCGTGAGATTATTCAATGGATGAGCCGATTTTTCTTGGGTATGATTGGATAAGCGTGTCGATGATACTAAAGACGAATCTTTTTTATTAATCGACACATGATCATCGATGCCATTTATCTTTATGGTATAACTGGTGGAAAATGACGATGAAGCGGTTGTGTTTACTATTTGTTAGCTACTACTGGATTCGCATCCTCTATATTGTGGATCTGACGGTGATTCGGGCGTCATCAAGTCAGTCTGCGATGTGAGAAATTGTGAGAAAAAATGAGATAAAAAATGCAATGGCAATTGCATATGAAACAGTGAATTGAAGTACCTGTGTCTGTTCTTGATCGCTGCGCTCCTCCAACACCGTGTCTAAATCTAATGAGGGGAAACCTCTACTCAGGCTTCGTTCAGAACGTAGACTGACAGCTCTCGTGGTACGGTTAGCTATAGGAATGATTGGAAATCAATTCGTTTAGTTTGTATTTATTTTGAAAATAAACACACAAAACTACTGTTCGACAAACATTCCAAAAATGGCATTCATGAATCGACTTAAAAAAAAAACAACTTTACACTCTAAAAAAAGAAGTAATTTTAATGCCTTTTGAACATTCTCGCTACAAATTCTATTTACATATTTACACATGTGAATTTTGATAGACAAAAGCAAAGATAAAGCAGAGATAGAGACAAAAAAAAAGAACAAACACGAATAAAGCGAAAATCTTTGACATGCAATCAGCTAATTAAAGTTGCAAAGAAACGAAAATCGACAAAAAAAAACCATTCGAAAGATGCAATCAAAAAGGGAAAAAGTGAAAACAACAGAATAAACGAAAAAATGAAGAAAGAAAAGTTCCAATTAGCGCTGCTTCCTTACTGAGCCTATGGATAGGGCTAAATCTGACCAAGCTAACAGCGTGATCCTGTAAATCATAATTTCGACGACGATCTCGTTCACGGGCCATTTTAGCGCGATGTCGTAAACAACAGATTACCAACAATGCCAGCAATGGAAATCCAAAGATGCACGACACAATCGGTATGACTATCGATTCAGGTGACACTGAAAGTACAAAAAGAAAACACATTTAAAATGAATATACTTTGCCGCATTACCGTTCACTCTCTGTGTGTTTGTGTCATTTTTTATCGTTCAAATTTTCCCCAAATGTAAAATAAACGCATCAGACATTTCCATAAAACAGTTTTTTTTGCCATAGAATAATACCCACATACGGTAAAGAAATAAAATGATTTTAAATTGATTTTACATTTAGCTCGAGTTTGTTGAGCTTTTGTTCGTGCGTTCCGCAAACAGCTTTGCAGAGACACTCTGAGTGGAACTTGATGACGGATACATTTACAACATAAATAACGGAAAGATAACAAGAATATATTTTGGTTTCAGTAAATTGTTTATTTTGTTTGTGTGTGCGCGCATTTTTTTTCTGTTTACTTTACGGCAATGGCTCTTTCATCCAATAATAATTTTTCATCGAAATAAATGAAAATATCTACGAAAAAAGTAGAACAATTTTTTTCTGTCATAAATAAAATCAGAAAAAAATCTCATTGGCGCATGCCTTGAACTCGAGAAATCGGATTATCGCATTTGGCTGCTTGACGACCGAATGAAAATTGAAGTGTGCGCATTCACAATGTAATTGCGTAGTTAATGTAGATCATTAAAAACAAAAACAATGACTCTTTATATATGCACTCGACAATAAATTGGCAGCGTCGAATAGGGAGTCGTATGCGGCGGTGAGGCCATAGAAAAATACCCACTTACCCGTTGGATAGATGATTATGGTGCGTTTATTTTGGCCATTTGAACTGGCCGATAGATTTTTGATGATTGTTGATGTGGTTGTGGTAATTGGAATGGCTGCCACAGCCGCCGCTTTTGTTGTTGCCTCGACCATTGGCATTAATTTCTCGGTCGTAATGTGTGTTGAATTCAGCAGAATGCTCGGCATTATGGGATTTATTTCAGGGCTTTTCTCCTCGTAATTTGCTGCGCTGTAAATGTGTGTGTGTGTGTGTGTTTGTATTCGTTCCAGGCACAATACACCGCAGTCAGTAAAACTGAACGAACGACTGCATATATAAATGACGGGCAATAACAGTAAATGTCTAAGATAAATATTTTGACAAATCCAAAATGCCGTTTGCTGCTTGTGTTCGCTGGTGTTTTTGTCCTCTTATTTGTTTTGCCTCGCCTTTTGTTATACTGTGTATTCAATATCGCTTTTTGTTTTACCGCTTATTAATTTTGTATTTTTTTCTCTCTTTTTTCTGTTATTATTTTTCCTCTGTTTAAGCACTTTGTTTAATTCCGTTTTCAATTACGTTCATTCCGCAGCGATTTTTTGTAATGGCATTTTTCCGTTTCACTTTGTTTTCGATTGATAGATTGTGTTTGGAGGAGCTTGAATTTCAGCATCCTTTTGTGTAAGTGACCAATCGATTTATTTAATGAATTACTACTCTAATACGATTCTAAGTGGATAAGGGCAGGGCAGACTAAAGTTACTATCGATTTTTCTTGTGACCAATTGTTTTCTTGCTATTGTTGCCGTTGTGTTGTTGGCCGAATGAAATCCAAATGTGACATTCACTCGCTTTTAATATCATCGGATTATCGACGGATATGCTGTCATCTGATGCAAAAACATATTCATTCATATATATGTTACGAATGGTGAAAAGGCTCCGATTAAACTGGTCTCTCTTTCTGAAAATGAATAAATGGAAAAAAGATAATCAGTTAAAATGATGGCAACTTATGACAGCTAGAGGAATAAAAAGAACAGCAAAATACACATCATTCCATTTATCACTTTTGCCATCGATTTGAAACGGTTTTTTTTCTGTTCGTATTCCAAATTCACTTGTTTCTGTGGTGGTCTCGTTTGTGATGACGACAATGCGCCATCGATAAATTCAATGGCCGAATACATCAAACGATTTGGTCTGTTTGGTAATCTCGCAAGGAAAAAAAATCGATACATAAATGTGCGATTTCAGCTGAACTGCGAGAAGTGGATGTGTGTAACAATGGCAGAATTGAAGGACCCGATCTGTGACGTAGTCGCAATAAAAATATTTTATTTGCAACGGATTTATGTTACAACGCGCCCTTGAACTAGACAACAATAAAGCTATTTTTCAACGCTTTAACTGTCGACTTTTCTTTTAGGCCCAATCGAGTGAAACAGTTCAGCAAATCATAGACTTTATAAATTTCGCCTCATTTATTTCCTTGTTCGCCGACATTTAATACTCTCCACCCATGATCTCATTCGCATACGTCAGCACCACACAAATCACATAGAAATGAATGAATTTCTCTCTCTCTCTCTCTCTCTCTGTCTCTGTCTCTATACTGTGGCTTTATTCCCTTGTGGTTTAGGAAGTGCCCTTTCATTTGGTGACCGCAATTTTTTTTAGATTCGTTGACTTTGGTCGAAATAATGGTATTCAGTCGTAGTTCGGTCATGTTAGATTGAATCAGCTCATTTCCGTCTTCTTCTCTTTTTTCCCTCTCTCTCTCTCTCTCTCTCTCTCTCTCTCTCTCTCTGTCGTAATTGCAATGCCAAAAGTGAAATCTAATTCAATTCCAAAGCATTCATTACCTCGTTTGTTCGCATTGCAAGATTCTCGGAATTCAATTTTATCCAAACAGAAGTTTTTATGGCTTTCTTTTTATTACGACTGCCTAATTTCCACCGCTGCAGTGCCAAACGAAGAATTTCATTCGTTTTGTTCCGTTCAAATGTGTTCAAATGGAATTGCGTTGTTTTGGTGAGCAATCACATTGGGTAAGGGATATTTAAATGGACGCAAAATTTTGGAACTGATCGTAAAACTGGGAATAATACTGTTGAATGGAATGGCCAGGATTTCATACTTCCTTTTGGGAATGGGTTTTTGTAGAATTGTGCCGTAACACACGTACACACGGCTTTGTGCAAACCAGTCGCATTTAAATCATTCCGAGTGCATTTTGTTGGAATTTACGTCTGCAATTCTGAATGGAAATTCAATGGGAAATATGCGATGTTATAATGCAAACACTTGCGGTTTTATCCAACCGACATTCAGCACTAATATAAAGTGATAAAATCCCGAAAAAAAAGTTTCTCTCTTTCTCTCTCTCTCACACACACATTCTACCAATTGAAAAATAGCGGTAAAATAAAAACGTATGAATTAAAGAGCAAATAGCAATCCATTGTAGCATTTCAAGCATTTTCCTAATGACGTCCTTATAATACGACAGATGATGCGCTCACAATGAAAGTGCTGCAATATTTTCATTTGCTTCATTCTTTTTCTCCCGTTCAATCGTTTTTCCACTTCTATGTTTTCGAATGCAAAACGAATAGCCTTTGTTGAAGCGAAACGGTTGTTGAGAAGCTCAAACCGATTTTTGGCTTGTTTCGATTTGCAAAAGCAGCTGTTGGAATTCTTCCATTTAAATAGGCGCATTATGACAAAAGGCACGCTTGTTTGTTTTCCTTCGCAATACACACGCACACACAAAGTGAAAAGGAGAGCTCAAGCCGATAGCTTGCTCTTTCCAACACACAGAGACGTTTGCGCTGTGCACAGTTTATTAAAAACGAATATTAAAATTGTGGACTTAAAACTGGCAAACGACATACGCACGATTCAGCAGAAGAAGAAGAAGAAGAAGAAGAAAAAAAAGGAAAAAAAAAACAAATTTTCCAGAATGAACATGAACCATGTTCGGAGCAGCGTCACCGCCGCGCTGCGATTGCCATCGTTTATATCATTTAATTCTCTATGTACACGCACCAAAAACCAACAAAGTAAATCAACTGAACAGCAGACACTAAAGTAAGTAAAACGATGGAACGTAGGTACGCCTATAAAATTTCAATAAGCCTAAACGCCGAAACAGGCCAAGCTGCCACTTTCGCGAAATGAACATGTTCGGCAGATATATTCGGTGAATGAAACATAAAAATGTTCTTGGATTTTTCTCTTCTTTTCGACGTGTATCTCATTTTTCAAGTGAAAACACATGGAAAGTGGAGAGAAAGAGAGAGAGTGAGAGCTACAGAACACACGTGAATTACAACTTTCAAATGAATGAGCACAAGCGATGGCACAACATGAGGTGAGCTGGAAAAGTTAACAATGAACCAACAAAAAAATTCCGTACATTTAAGCGAATTTTCAATTGAATTTATTCCGTTTTTTAGCCATCTTCATATTTGTATATATCTGCTCCTTTTCCATTTCCTGTGCACATTTTCCGCTTTCGCGGATATACGGCTGATTCAACACATCGGAGCAGGTTATACATTTCGTTTAATTCCAATTATATGCATTAAAAAGGACTTGTCATAAACATTTCGGCACACAATGCACGGTAAATACGAAGGTAGATAATCGACTACAAAGGATGAAACCGTTTTGCTTGTATCACCGCCGCCACCACCACCATATCAGTGATATGCCATACCACCATTGAACTATACAAATTATACATTGCCATGGGTTGAGAATTTGTTTCTGCATATATGATAATTCCAACCAATTTCTTCTTCTGGTTCAACGTTGAATTGTTGGCAAGAGAAACGGTGTCGTTTTGAAGTTCTCACATCACATCCACTTCATGGCTCATGAGTAATATTCCGCATGGAGAATCTTTTCTCAAGTTTGCTGTTACACGTTTTCCCCGGTGGAGAAACTTTGTAGTTGGGCCACATATTCTATGTGAACAGTTGCGAGAAAAATAAACACGAACATTTGCAATAATATTAATCGAGTGTCACAAAATCGAGTCATCTTGAAACTGAATGGTTAAATGTCGCATTCAAGGATAAACTGGGCTTAACTGGACTGGATTTACCACTATTCTTCTGATAACATGTTTATATGCATTCAACCTTAAATGGCATATGCTGGAAATGTGTTGATATTTGTGTTTTGAATCATTTGTGGGACTATTTTTGGTTGTGTGTGTGTGTGTGTGTGTGTGTGTGTGTGTGCCGAATTCATTTCAAATGTTGAATAATTTTTTTTTCCTAATGGAAACCGCAAAGTGTATGCACATTGCATTACGTATGCTATGTGACCATGGCGGATGTCAACCCAGTTTGTTTTACAAAATACACATAACAATGGCAGAAATTTTTCATCAGAAAAAATGCGGCTGATTTAATGACATACAACGGGCAACTGTCACTTTTGTCGTCATGTTTCATTGTTAAACGCAAAAGCTTATACGTTTTGATCCATCGAAAGTTGTTGGATATATTTTTTTGTGTCGTTGAATGCTAAATGAAAACCAGGACGATTTATTTTATGTGTGCGTTTTTTTTTCTTAGCTTTCGAACATTTGTGAGCACACCCCGTCTGTGATGTCAGCGCCGACGTCAACAAACTATTTCAATTCTAATACTGCAGCTTATTATTGCTATTATTAGCATAAATTCCATTCTAACGTGACACTTGGCATGGTTTCGTCCTTTCTTTCACTTTTGTTGGGCTCCGTTTCTCTCTCTCTCCATCTCTCACTCCCTCTTCGTGTCCCATCCCATGTGCCGGCAGTGTGTTAAATATAACTTTGGGGTTTTTTTGCCTTCGCCAGCCAGTGTGCGTGTGTTTGTGCTGCGCTGAACACGTAAAATAACACCAAAAACCGGATAACAAAAGAAATACGAAACTGCACAATCGGATCTCTTGTAATATTCGATTAACAGAAAATAAGAGTCAGCTTTCACTAATTTCAAGCAGCTTTACATTAAAAAACAGAACGGTTCAGTTGCTTGGGGGGATGGGCGAGAGACTGGAGAAGGGAGCTAGAAAGCAAGAAAGATTGAGATGAAAAGCAAGACCAACTGAGAGGAAAAAAGAGAAAGAGATTGAGAAAATGAACGAACGTCACGCAGCGAATGTCCTCTTAACATCGTGCTATAATATCATAAGTGAATGAAGAAATAAGGACCGTGTGATTTAAATCGAAACATGGTTTTTGCTTTAAAAGTAAATTACACACATTTGACCATCTGACGCATTTATATTTTCGACGATTGAATGCACAAACACTCGTTGGCTGTTTTAGTTCATTGCAGCGACAAATATTTTATACACCGAGACAGTCATGGTGGAATATGCATTATGCATTCCGCGTCACAAATTTTACGACAAACAAAATGAAGAGACGAAATAAGAACAAAACAACACCAATTCAATTCTAAAACCGACACAAGCGATAGTTGACAGTCGACTATAAGTCGTACTTTTGTCAATGTATTTGAAGCAGAGATTACTATGGGATATTTTTATTCATATGGCATAAGAATATCGCATAAAAATAACCAGTGTTGTTCAAAATCGACAATTTGGTATCTCTATCCGTCGTTTGTAAACGTGCATTTATATGTTTCGCTCTTTTCTTTCGATCGACATTCTTCGTACCCAGCTCATTGACGTCGTTTACAAACGACGGCACAAGCGATACACACACAAACATTGTGTTGACACACGAAGAGTGTTCAAAGAAAAAAGTGAGCGAAACATGTGCATGCACGCTCCGCGCAGCTCATCGTAAGTGTGAAGAGTATAACGAAAAAACAGCGACTCTGTGTCGCTATTGTGTATTTATGCGTTTCGCTGAACGCAACGCTTGAAAAATATCTGTTATTTTTATGCGATATTTCTATCCCATATAAATAAAAATATCCCATAGTA